GGACCAATCTATTCATTCTCAAATCTTAAAATAAAATAGCTATAATTATTAACATCAACACAATATTCTCATAAAGAAAATAGCTATAATTATTAATTTAATTAATTTAATTTAATTGTTCATTGTTGCAAGTTTGAAAGATATTTAATTATTTTAAATTCAATAAACGAGTCAATATAACAACATTATTGTTGTCATTTAAATGAGTATCACCTCAATTTTAATGCCCATTTTAATTTTACATAATTTATTCTTTTTGTATGTATTTTTTAGTTTATTAACACATGCAACGCACATACTCTAAAGCTAGTTATCATTAATTGTACCGAATTTAAATTATGTTAAGTTGTCTTTTTTTTGTTGTTGTGATATAGTATTAAACTAATAAATAACACGAGAAATAAAAACACATGCGCAAATTATGTAAAACAAAAATAATGTTGCTATTATATATTTAATGTCATATATACATATAATGATAAATGTCAATGTCTCCCACATCTTGTATGCTTTAAAGCATTGGCTGGCCTAAGGCGCATCTCATCTCGCCCGGCTACGCTATCAAGATCATCCTCATCACGTCGCCTCTTTATCGGAGGATGCGTTACAGCATGATCGTTGGTAAGGTTGGCAGACTCGGTAGAAGCGACCGTCGGTCCAGCAGTAACCTACATAATAATAATAAGATATTTTAGTATATGAAATATAAATTACTAACGTACGTGTTAGCTAAAAAATATTTAATGGTCATACCATGGTCTCGGCGGGCTCCTAAATAAAATCAGTCGTGTCCGGCATGTCAGTATCGCACAAAGTGGCCTCTGTGAGGGGCGATGATGATGTATTTAAAAAATAAATAAAAACGCTTTAGATATTAATGCCTAATTAATGAGATAAAAACAAATAGAAATAATAGTAATACAAACAAACTTGCGCCTGAGTAGCGACACACTCCTCAACAGCCCTCGATGATGAGCCATAACTCAGTCGTCGCCTACTATGCACCTCTCGTATCGGACGATCCTCAGCAGCCGTCGATGGCCCTGGTCGATCAGGAAAATACTGATCCCACTCCTGCTGCGTAATGGCCATGCTCGCGATCAACAATGGAGCTGACGGGGTCAGCTGCGAAGTCCATGGCGATAGCTGTAGGCTGAATGACGACATATCATGAGGAGCATCTTGTGGCTCAGGGTGGTCACCTGGCTGATCATCTCTAATATCCTCCACGGGTGCCTCAACGCTCACTTGCGGGGGACCCCGTCCTCGCCTACCACCACGACCTCGTAGGACCCCTTCCTCTCTGACTATGCCTACCACGTCTACCACGTTCAGGCTTTACTGGTGGCCCACGATGGTAGTCCTCTAGCGGCACATAAGCAGCCTCGTATCCTAATCGCTCATCATCTCGGGCACGCTTCAATGTCTGGGCAGCCAGATCTGTAACTTGACGGCCATACTCGTGCAAAGCTGCCGCTCCCCTGTCGGTATGCTGCAGCATGTGCAGTCCTAGCTGGTATAACTGATGTAATCCAATAGTCTGCATAACATGTCAAATATTAATTACGGAATGATAATTTAACGTTATAAGTAAGTATAACAAATAACATACCAGTGCCTCATGCCTCCCAACGTATGGAATGTACCGACCACTAGCGCGATGAACGAGATTCCCGACATGAAGTCGGATAACGTTGCGATACCATCCCATATACTCATGCTCGCCATCCGTACGCTCATGTGTATGGGGTGGAGGAATCAGGTCATATCTCTGGTCCCAAACCTCAATCTGGGCCTCTAGCCAGTCCACGTATGTCTGGTCGACCATGTTATGATCATCCCGCTGGTAATGTGTCCTAAGCCAAGCGGGCATGATAGGTACAAGCTGCGATCGACCAAACTGGCAAAGGACTCGCCCGATGGCATGATGCTCAACAAAACTGGCGAAGGACTCGCTCGTGAGTAAACGCAACACATATAAAGCCAGTCTAAGTAAACTTAAGTATACATATACCTACGCGCCTTCAAGCAAATCCAACAAATCCCTGTAATAGGGGAGATGATGTCGAGCCTCAACCTCGCGTCTGTAGCCTCGCCTATCAACCCACCTCCTAGCTAAAGAGAGAAACGGTAGAGGTAGTGCATCCGGAGCGATGGGTGGTAGAGGTGGCAAGAACTGCAGGAACCGCTCCCATGTCCAAACCTAATATACATTGTGAACGTAAAATTTAAGTTATTATTTTAATATGTATGTAATAATTATGAAAAGAATTGACTATGTTTTCACTTGCAGCAGCGGCAAAAATCCGGCAACGTCTCTCTAGGTGCCCATGCTTGCCCGACACATCTGCCTATACAGGTAACCTAGAATAACTGCACCCCAGCTGTAACTAGGTAAATCATCTAGCCGCTCAAGATAATGAAGAAATCTCAAGCTGACTAGGTTTCCCGAAGTGTTTGAAAACAATACACTACCAAACATCAGCAACATCAACAATCTCGTGTACCGGTCGATAACCTCCACCGGTGAATCATCCGCAATGTCCACATCCATCGCCTCCAGATGTTGTCGGACAGGAGTCAACTTCAAATGACTGGCCCCACTCAATGCAGTCTCCTCCGCTGGCTGGAAGTTGGTGAATCGCTGCAACATCTGCAGGTAATGCAATCCCGTATATTCTCTAAGAGCATGTGAGTAAGCTACATGTAGTCCATCAACCGACAGACCAAAAAGAACCTCCACGTCCTCAAGCGTGATGGTAGCCTCGCCGATGGGTAGATGAAACGTGTGCGTCTCTGGTCGCCACCACTCTATCATAGCCGTGATCAACGCCCAGTCGAACTACAACCGACCGACCTCTATGATCTTGTAAAAACCCATATCCTAAAGGCGTCTAACTATACGGGGATGAAGTGGGGTAGGTCCTAATGAAGTCCCACATATCGTCTATACGTCTGGCGCGGAATGTCTGGGACAAACACTGCCCATCCCATATGTATGAAGACCTATGCTCGGCCTGTAGCAACAGTAGCTCTAGCGATGCAGGTCCGGGATGCACAGGCGGAACCTCCATGACGATGATTGTAAATTGAACAATATTAATTAAAGTATTTTTCTTTTTAATTCCTTAACATCTTTAAATATATTGCAATATCTTTAATATTAAAATTTATTTGATATTTTTAATATATTGTTAGTTGATACATTTTTTATATTATAATTTTATATTTTATATGTTGTTTTATCATTTTATATGTTAGTTTATTATTTTATATGTTAGTTTATTATTTATATGTTAGTTTACTATTTTATATATTTGTTTATTATTTAATATGTTAGTTTCTTATTTTATATATTTATTTCTTATTTTATATGTTTGTTTGTTACTCATCTATTTTTGACTATAATAAAATTAAATAATTAATTTTAATAATTATACATGATTTCATTATTACATATTCATATAACAATACTTAGTTTAACAAATATTGTTGTTTTTTAATGTTATTTGTTTTTACGTTTGTTGACTAGAATTCGAGAGAGTTTGTGTTTGAACTATCATATTTTTTCAGATATTTTTTAGTTTAACAGATAATTAAATCAATAACTACAAAGATACTACGCTAAAGAGCACTACATTTTACTACACTAAAAGGGCACTACATTACAAATAATGGTACTACATTAAAATTACGGGCACAACATAATAATACATGGAACTAAACAACATTAAAGTCACATATTAATATATGTACAACAATAATATCTAAATAAGATTAATTATTCCTAAAATAACAATTTATCTATTTTACTAATCGTATAAAACATAAATAATCTAATCCGGATAAAAAATAACAAATTGATTTAATCACAAAACAATCACAAAAATACATATACCACAGTAAAAAATAACTAATTAACATTTTTTATAACAACTAATAACAATTTTTCTATTTTATTAATTTTTTTAGCACACTAATAATATAATCCAGATAAATAAATAAATAAATTAAATCACAAAACAATCACGAAATGATATAGAACACAATAAAAAATAACTATTTGGTAGTTTGTATACATGAGTTTTAACAAAAAATAGGTCGGAATACCTCGATTTTAATTTTTTGGAAAGTTGAAGATTTGGTGATTTGGAGGCGAAACGAGCAACCAACTATGCGATAACGCCTTAGATATAATGTGGGACCGAGAATCTATACTTTTGTGGGACCGGTGGGCTCCAACCGAGATTTTTTTCTTTAAAAATGGGGGATAAAATAGAGGGGGGTTGTGGTTCGCGTTTGTGGGGAAGGAGAAGGGCACGCTTTTTTATCTTGGTATAACGTGCATGTATACCGCGCTATACTATAACACGATAGATATGAGCGCTATACCTTCCCTCCCATTTAAGTTTAAATAAAGCGCGATTATTTATTACGCTATACCTTAACGGACAAACGTGCCATTAAGGTGTAGCGCAATGAATAACTGTGCTATACATATTATGGTGCTCACGGTGCTATACATATTGTGGTGCCCAATCTTTCTTTCCACCTATTATGATCGCTTCAGTCCAAAATAACCCCACTTTGGTCCGCACTACACCCACCGATCCCTCAAAGGCTCAAACGACGCGTTTCTCACCTCACTAATTATCTGGATACACACGCAACCCACCATCCGAAATTCTCAAAAAGCGCACACACGAGATAGCGGCGGAGGGATTCTGCAATTTAAAAGTTCCAAAAGCAGATTTGGAAATAAATAAATAAAAAATCTCTGAAAAACTGATAAAAATAGGGATTTGGGAAAGGATTTGGAGACGAATCAGCTGCTGGAAATTTAAGGTTCAAATCCTTTTTCTTCTGGGTTATAAAGCTGTGGAAGCTGGGATTGGGAGCTGATCTCGCCGCTGATTACGCTGTTGTCCAGTAGCTGAGTTCCAACATTACATCTGTTTTTTTTCAGCCTTTGTTTTGGCTTTCGATTTTTATTTGTGGCTCAGGTATGAACTTATCCAACATGCTGCAATTGTTGATTAGATGCTATATCGTATTGAAATTCACAATAATTGTTCCCTTATTCCCCTGGAAAAGTTCATCACTGTTATTTGCAAGTTTGAATTAATGTTGAACTATTTTGATGCATAGAGTTAGAATAAATCTGTGTACAGAAGTCATTTGTTGATAATCACTGTTAGAGCTTCATTTGTGATACTATAGGATTATTGCTCTCGTGTTTTGAAATCTGGATGTGTTCGTTCATTTGAAATAGGTTCCGAAACTGAAATCCTCAGTTTAAGTGGAAAGTGAAAACGTCAATATCAAGTCATGAGTTTGTTTAGTGCTCGAACAGATTCGAAATCTAAGGGAAGCAGAGTGTGTCTATTCGTATAATGATTGGCTTCAATTAAGCTAAACCTTTAGTTTTGAATTTGTTGAAATCAAGCCTATAATAGTGTTACCCATGCTTGTGGTAGATGTACAAAGTCAGTTGGTAATTTTATGTTTTCAAATTCTCCTTTGGTTTAACTGGGTATGAGTTTAGGCTAATAGTTGGTGAATTTTGAGCTGCCAACACTTACTCCAACCCAATACATGACTCTGTAGCTCTCAACTTTAACACACGATCTTGAATTTAGAAAAGTAATTAATTCTTGAATATTCGTAGTTTGCTTTAGGCGCGATTAATAAATAAATCATCGTGACTATGGGTACAGTTCCCGTGGCATGGTCACGATACGTAAAACCCAATTCGATTGCGCGTTTCACGCGACTTGGCCATAACTTCAAAAATAATAATAATAAGCATGTTGTAAATCGCGGGTGCGTTTCACGTGGCGCGACTTGTAATGTGTACTAGAACGACAAGTGTACGACATCGTAACTTGTTCAAGAAATAACTCCATACATACTAAAAACGGTTAAAAATTCGATTAGAAGCGCTAAAAGATAACATGCGCATAAAAGGTTTTAAACATGTTATAAATCAGATAATTAGGCTAAGTATTAATTGTTATGCGACCGTGCTAAAATCACAGAATTCGAGAGTGTCTCACACCTTCTCCGGATTAACAGAATTCCTTACCCGGTCTTCTGTGTTCGCGGACTATGAACAGAGTCAAATTTCTCGATTTGGGATTTAAAAATGAACCGGAGACTTGGGACACCATAATAATTATCCCAAGTGGCGACTCTGAATTAAATAAATAATCTCATTTCGAATAATTAAATCTAGCAAGTATTGAACCTGCAATACTTCTAGGAATTTGAACACCCTTACCACTAAGCTAAATTTTTTATAAAAATAGAAAGGATTTTATAAAATCTAATAAGCCTAATGTTTGCTACAAATGTGGTAGGATAGGTCATTATGCTAGAGATTGTAAAGTCAAGGATAAGATTAAGAACCTTGATATAGATGATAATATTAAGAATTCTTTATATAAGATTTTATTAAATTCTTCTCCAAAAAATTCCAGTCCAGAAAATAGTGATAGGGAAGATTCATCAACTGATGAAGATTTAAGGGTCTTACAGGACGTTTTCCTCAGAAGATGATTGTGGACCCTGCAAGAAAAATCAGTGTTGTAATAACAACACGGATGATGAATTTTATAATATATATTCACAATTCAAGGACTTAGATATTAATGTCCTAACCAATGATAATTTATTAGATTTTCTCAGGATTATTAAAGACCCAGGACTGAGGTCCCAAATTATTGACAAAATGGACTAGTTACTCACAAGTCCAGAGATAGAAGAAATTCATTCTCAAAAAGGGCCATATACCATGTCTGATGTTAAACGGATTTTAAAAGAAAAATCCCAGGCCATTGATAGGCCAACTACTGTTCAAGATCTTAGTAATGAGATTGATAATCTCAAAAAAGAGATCTCTGATCTAAAGGCTTCAAATGTAGCCTTTGATAAAAGAATTTTCAATTTAGAAAATTCTACAGTGAATATAAGCCATGAATTCAGTACGTCTTCTCTTCTAACTGTAGTGATATTGAATTTATAGTTGCATATGTTCTTTGCACTAGCTTAATCAAGAAATGTTCTACTTGTAGGCCATAAAGAGAAGTCAACTTTAACAATATGGACCTCAAACCGTTCAAATTAGACATTGATGAGCTTATAAAGGAGTTTGCCAAGGTACTAATATGCCTGTTTTTTCCTTCAATTTAAGCATAGTTTTGATCTATTCATTTATCTTGCAACAACAATTACGCCTCAGTCCCAAGCAAGTTGGGGTCGGCGATATGAATCCTCATTCCTTTCATTTAGCTCAACTCGTCATCATCATTACCAAAATAAAATGAAAGCTATTCATTTATCTTGCACTTTTCATAATGGTTCATACCAGTAATATGGTGTTTTATAGGGTGGATCTCCTAGTTTTGCAGAAATGAAGAGAGTGTGGGTCTCTAAAAAGCTCTCCTATATTTTTGAGGCCAGTCCCTCTAAAGATCAGGCATGCTTTATGCAATCACTCTATGCCTACTGCAGTGGTATGTCTAAATGTTTTCTATTTTACTTTTTTGTTGGTTTTCCTAATTTAACATATTTTAGTTTCATTCGGAGAGAATGATTCTGATTATTGTGGCATACACACACTTATCTATGAAAAACTTTCTACCTTTAATGTGAAACGTATGGAACTATAGGAATGTTGAGAAATGTCNTAATGAGTAGCAAAGTGAAGGGTCACAAACGAAGAGAAACACAAACTCTTTAAAGATTTTTCAAAATCACGATTTCTAAGAGAAATATAGAAACCTTGAGAGATTCTTCCAAATCAACTCAGACATTTCAATTTGTTCTAATATTCTCTCCCTCGTCATCATATGCTCTGGTAAATGTCGACAGATAGCACAGTAAAAGGTGTAAAATTTTGGCTCTGACTTCAAACAAAGCCTTTGGAAAGTGATTTTAGTATTTGGAGAGATATTAGTAAAGTAGTGAATGTGAGTGCATCCTTAAATTCTTTTTCTGATGTTTATTTTCTCTTAAATTTCGATGAGAGAGCTGTCATACTAGTGTAATATTTTCACCTTTCCCTGTGGCTGATATTTTCCTGCTTTGGATTTACCGAATTGAATGCATTGCAGGTTACATGGTGTCTAATTATTCTCTTTTGAGTAGACTGGGTGGGCTTTATTCCCTGTACTGCCTTTATGAGACGCAGCCATTCAAGCTTCCTTTCAAGATTTATATATCTCTAGGTATATATATATATATATACAACCTTTTTAACATGATATGTCGTGAATTAGGGTGGAAGGATGACTGGTAGTCGCTAGTGTCTCTTAGTCTTACCGGTAGTACTAGTACTATTTTTGTATTTCTCTTATTCCCGGTTCTTTATTATTACATGTTGTGCTGTTTGCTTCTATTGCATTGTTGTTGCTGCTTTATTTTCCTTGTTCCTTGAGCCGAGGGTCTATCGGAAACAGTCTCCCCAGACATTGTTGTAAGGTCTGCGTACACATTACCCCCCAGACCCCACTTGTGGGATTACATTGGGTTTGTTGTTGTATGTCGTGAAACAGTGCTTTTTATGTGATGATTCCCTCTCGATTGTGCAGTTTTGGTCTTATGAGATGAGACAATTAAAAGTTACAATCAAATCTTGTAAAAAAACATTTGAATGAAACCTGAATCAGTCACTTCACTGATTGAGTTGCAAATTTCTTTCTTTGTGATGGCACTGTCTGGAGCATATATCATCATGGATACTTTCTAGATTCCTGTTTCAAAATATGTTACCGGAACTATAACACAATATTAATGCTGTATATCAGATGAATTATGACGTAACATGTATATGTAAATTAAATGAATAGCTCTAGTGAGGATGTTAATTCATAGTTTACTCATACTTTAAGTAGGTTGCTTTAGTTCTTTGAAGAGTTCTCCAAACATGTAATTGGACTATCAAGTATCTATATTTTTGCAGGTTATGTGAATGGAATTGGACCACTATTAGGTGTCCACCGTTGTTGCTTCGACTGATGTTAAACCTTTTCTTGGTTTAGCTTTGAGGACATTAACCTGTATAATTGGAACCACAGGTGGGTCAACACTCTATTCAGTTTTCTTATCAAATCATAATAATAGATGAAGCACAAGAAGTCAAAGAATGCTTGAATAATTGGTGAAAATTGATGCTACTAAGATACCAATCACAATACCAGCTCGTACTATCATTTTGCTAAAACGTTCTTAAATGTCAGTTTTAATTTCATTTGAAGAACATTTGATTGGTCCAAAATCAACAAGACCTCCAATTAAATTTTCCTTTGATGCCAAATGATCTCCTTCTCTCTATCATTTCTCAAACTACTTGTGCGTCCTCATTTTCAGAGAAAGCCATTGCGTCCTCATTTTCACTTTCAGAAGTAACCCATTGAACAATATATGTTTTCAACTATAATTTGCAAGTTCAATGTATGTTCCTTGGCACTTCTAGAACCGGTTCACCATAATTTATTGTTCATGATATAGTGATATGTAGCATAGCATCACCCTTGTTTAAATGAAGTATGACATTCTATTCATATTCCTTTAGTTGTAGATCTTTGAGGATATAAAAATTTATATTTTTGTGGGTGCGTAGCCGATGTAATTCTTCTGATCTAGCAGTGCCAATCAGAATGTGAGAAAGCACGGGAAATTGATGTTAACTATGATACAATGAGCCTTATTTATACAATACATATTCTACTCTTATTCCATGTGGGACTAAGATTATTTACACAACTATTTAACACTCTCCCTCAAGCTGGTGCATACAAATCATATGTACCGAGCTTGTTACATAAGTAACTAGTATGAGGCCCAGTAAGAGACTTGGTGAAAATATCTGCAAGCTGATCATTCGACTTCACAAACTTTGTAGCAATATCTCCTGAGAGTATCTTTTCTCTGACGAAGTGACATTCAATCTCAATGTGTTCAATTCTCTCATGGAACACCGGATTTGATGCAATATGAAGGCCATAGCCATTGCTCGATATTTTGCTTCTGCACTAGACCGAGCAACCACATTATGTTTCTTGCTCTTCCAAGACACCAAATTATCTCCTACTAAAACACAATATCCAGATGTATAACGTCTATCAGAAGGTGATCATGCCCAATCAGCATCTGAGTATCCAACGTTCTGCGCATGGCCTTGATCCTCAAACAATAATCCTTTACCTGGAACTGATTTTATATACCGAAGAATGCGGACAACTACATCCCAATGATCATCACAGGGAGAATCCATAAACTGACTCACAACACTCACAAGGAAGGAAATGTCAGGTCTAGTCACTGCGAGGTAATTTAATTTACTAACCAACCGCTTATATCTTGCAGGATCGCTAAGCGGCTCCCGTAGTCCTAGCAGAAGTTTAGAATTCAGATCCATAGGAGTGTCAACAGGTCTATAGCCAGTTATTCCCGTCTCCTCAAGAATGTCTAAGGCATACTTTCGTTGTGAGATCACAATACCTGAGCTAAGCTGAGCGATCCCAATACCCAGAAAATACTTTAATCTGCCCAAATCCTTAGTCTCAAAGTGCCGAAAAGATGTTGCTTCAACTCAGTAATACCATTCTGATCATTGCCGGTAATAACAATATCGTCAACATAAACCACCTAATAAATATAGAGATTTGAAGCAGAATACCGATAAAACACAGAGTGATCAGCTTCATTACGAGTCATGTCAAATTCCTAAACAACTGTGCTGAACTTACCATACCAGGCTCGAGGAGACTGCTTTAGACCATAGAGTGACCGGCGCAACCGACATACCAGGCCACAAACCTGAGCAACAAAATCAGGTGGTTGCTCCATATAAACTTCATCCTTAAGGTCACCGTGAAGAAAAGCCTTCTTAATGTCCAACTGATGGGGAGGCCAATGGCGAACAACAACCATGGATAAAAAAAGGCAGACTGATGTTGTTTTAGCCATGAGAGAGAAAGTATCACTATAATCGAGCCCAAATATTTGAGTATACCTTTTGGCAACAAAACGAGCCTTAAGTCGATCAACTTGGCCATCCGGACAATCTTTGACTGCATAAACCCAACGATAACCAATAGTAGATTTACCTGAAGGAAGAGGAACAAGCTCCCAAGTACCACTCGTATGTAAAACAGACATTTCGTTAATCATAGCCTGTCGCCATCCTGGATGAGACAATGTTTCACCTGTAGACTTAGGGATGAAAATAGAGGACAAAGAAGATATTAAAGCATAATGAGGTGATGACAAATGATGATAACTTAAACCGACATAATGTGGATTTGGATTAAGAGTGGACCATATACCTTTTCGAAGTGCAATTAATGGACTAAGAGGAGACAAGTCTGTAGCAGGAGCAGTGTCAGGTGCACGACGTGAATCAGCTGTGCGTGATGCTGGACGTGGACGACGACGATAAGTCAAGAGTGGTGTTCTTGTGGCTGAGGATCTAGGAGGAGAAACACTAGAGTCACTCAACGGTCGGTATGGGTCAGTGTTGTAAATGGCGAGCGCTACGTCGCTAATAGCGAGTAGCGTAGCGATGCGAGACTGTGTCGCTTCTTTCATCTGTTGCGTTGCGATTTACATAAAGCGATCGCCTCTACTTATGTAGCGAGAGGCGACAGTGTGGCGAGAGGCGACTGAAGCGTCACTTTTTTAAAAAGAAAAAGGGCAAAGACTTAAGAAAAAAGGTCGTGATTAGGGCTCGACTCTCAGAAGTTTCTTTCTTCTTCAACTTCGAACAACAGAGCTGCCAAGTTTCTGAAAAAAGGTCACGATTAGGGCTCGCGATTACTGTGCCATCGTCTTCTTCATCTGAAAGCTTTAAGTTTCTGCCAAGTGCCATCGTCTTCTACATCAAGTTTCTGCCATCTGAAAGACCAGGTATGCTTCTCTGAGTTGACTTTCTTTCTTCTTTCTTCTTTCTTCTTTCTCCTTCTTCTTTCTATTTTTTTTGCTCTGTTTTTTGTCGAAAACACCAGAAACAGAGAGTCTGTTTTTGTGCTCTGTTTTTCGAGCAAAATAACAGAGGCTCTTCCCTTCCTCTTTCTTCTTCTCTTATTTTTTTTGGCTCTATTTTTCGACCAGCAGCAGAGCAGAGGCAGTAGTTCTTTCTTTTTAGGCTCTGTTTTGTTTGCTCTGTTTTTTCAATTATAGACTTAATAGTCTTATANTATGGGTAAGACTTCTGCAGCTGAGGATGTAGAAGGAGTTGTAGTAAACTCTTCAAGAGTCGATATAGGTAAGACCTCAGTTATATCAAGGTGGTCAGAAGAGGTAAAGTAAGGTGGAGATTCAAAAAATATGACATCAGCTAACATAAGGTACCTACAAAGATCAGGGGAGTAGCAACGATATCCTTTCTGAACTCAAGAATACCCAAGGAAGACACATTTGAGAGCACGAGGAGCTAACTTATTTTTTCCGGAAGTTAAGTTATGAACAAAACATGTACTCCCAAAAGCATGTGGAGAAAGATAGTATAAGGGTAACTTAGGGAACAATACTGAATGTAGAATCTGATTCTGGATAGCAGATGCAGGCATCCGATTAATAAAGTAACAAGCTGTAAGAACTGCATCGCCCGAAAAACGCAGCGGAACATGGGACTGAATGAGAAGCGTACGAGCAGTTTCAACGAGATGCTTATTTTTTCTCTCTGCTACCCCATTGTGTTGAGGGGTATGTTTGATGGATAATTCCTTGAGAAGTCATAAACTGCTGAAACTGAAAGGATAATTTAAGCATTATCACTACGAAAAGTGCGGATAGAAACACCAAACTGATTTTTAATTTCAGCACAAATTCTGGAAGATAGAAAACAACTCATAACGATCTTTTATTAGGAAAATCTAAGTACATCTTGAGTAATCATCAATAAATCTAACAAAATAACGAAATTCTAAGGTTGAACGGACTCTATTAGGACCCCATATATCAGATTGAACTAATGAAAAAATAGACTCTGCACGACTCTCGGCACTACGCAAAAAAGTAGCTCGGGTATGTTTCCCAAGTTGACACGACTCACAATCTAATGTAGACAAACTAGACAAACTAGGCACCATCTTCTGAAGCTTGGATAAACTCGGATGTCCTAAACGTCTTTGAATTAAGTCTGGATGAGCTGCAACTGGACATGTTGTGGAGGGACTGAGTGAGTTAAGATAGTAAAGGCCTTATGATTCACGCCCTGTGTCAATCGTCTGTCCCGTACTGCGGTCTCGCATAATATAAGAATCATTAAAAAAATATATACCACAAGAAAACAAGTGAAGTAAGCTCCCCCCGATACAAGCGAGCTAATGGAGGGCACGAGTCAAACGATTAACAGATGCAAGACTAAAAGGACAACCAGGGACATAAAGAATGGAATCTAGAGTGACGAAGATAAGGGATTAGTTTGTCCAACTCCTTTTGCTTTAGTTTGGAACCCATTGGCTTAAGTAACACTAGGAAGAGACTGTGAATACACAATATTAGACAAAATTGATTTATTACCAGAGATATGATCATAAGCTCCCGAGTCCATGACCCACGGTCCAAGAGTACTAGACTGAGAAACACAAGCAAAAGAATTACCAGCAACAGAAGTATCAGTCTGAGTAACTGAGGCTACTTGTGGAGATGTCTACTTACTTGCTCGATACTGAAGGAACTCATTATATTCCCCTTCAGATAAAGAAAATCCATGGTTACCTATAGTCTCGGTCTAAGCAACATGAGCGTTTCTGGGTGGTCGACCATGTAACGAATAGCACACTTCACGAGTGTGTCCAAGTTTATTACAATAAGAACACTTGAGTCGAGATCTCCCAAAACGACCTTTTTCTCGTCGATTCTCCATAGCCTGAGATGCCCGATTTTCCATTGTCTGAGATGCGAGAACAGAGGAGTCAACTATGTCTAATGAGATCACTGTTTGACTAGGTGCTGCAGCAAGGCGAATTAATCGAGAGAATAATTCATCAACTGTAGGGATAGTCGAACTAGCCAAAATATGGTCGGATACTGAATCAAGGTCAGTAGGAAGTCCAGCAAGTGTAAGAAATAGATCAGCCTCCGGCGCGTGAGTCGAACCTCCCCCGAAAAAAAAATTGCTAATGGTGCGTGAAACACTTTTTGCCGGAGAAATTTTTGGGGTTTGGTTGCCGGAGGCTGATCTATCCTGTGGTGGTATTGGTTTTAGACAAAACCGACTGAAAATAACTTTCTTGCGGACAACCCTGATTTGCCAGAAAAAAGACTGATTTTTTTTTCTTTCCCGGAGTCGCTCGAATTCATGCACAGCGATAAATCTCTCACGATTGCAAGCACGGGAGAAAAATATATTATATTGATGTTAACTATGATACAATGAGCCCTATTAATACAATACATATTCTACTCCTATTTCATGTGGTACTAGGATTATTTATACAACTATTTAACGCAGAGGAAGAAATGTCCCTCGGGAAGACCTTTTTGTGTTGTTTGGGGATTCCTTAAATTAATTTTTAGAAATTTTAAACTCTTTGGCTATTGTTTGTTTACAAAATTTGGCGAGTGTTTAACTGCCAATTTAGTTTACTGTGCAACTGTCAGTAGCTTTTGATGCTTTGTAGTTTTACCATAATTCTTTTTATTCCATTTGGCAGGAGACCTGAAGAATCTTCGGAGCATCATCACAGAGGCAAAGGCTAAAGATGTTAAAGTAGTCCCTGCCCTGCTTTAGTCAAACGTATGTTAAACAGGAACATGTTTCTTTTTGGGTCTGTGGATGTGAATGAAGGCTCTGTAACTGAGAGATTAGATGAACTGACGGAAATACAAAATGCAAGTATCCGTATAGCATCCAAAAAGTAGGTTACTGATTCTTTTCTGCTAACTGTTTGTTATATTTCACAGCCTTCTCTATACATTCGCTCACCTTGTTTCTTTGGATGATGTAGGTTATTTGCAAATACCCAGATCAAGCACTTCACCCACATGGATATGGTATGTTTGTAAAACTGTTTTTTAAATTCAAAGAGAAGGGCTCTATCAATTTTCCATTCTAGAATATGCTTCCAGCTGTGTGCTTTTGCCTACAGTGCATATGGATTGATGCGGCTAAATATATGGATTTGTTGAACTCAACCACCATTTTGATGGAAATTTTGAGTAGACCTGTACTTTACTGATTTTGCAAGAAAATTATCAGGTGCAACATCATCAAAAGTAAAAATTATAAGTAGGATTTTAGTAATTTTGGACCAATTGACTGTGTAAAACTTCTTTCATTAAATTGATTGGATTTCTTCCATCCAAATATGATTCATATTGTTTGCTGGAATACGAAATTGTTTCTGTTTTTGTGTGGGTCGGTGTTTGTATTTATGTAATTTAGCAAGTATTTTCAGAATAGCATAAGATTGTTCTTTTATGATTCTTTTTTCTTGGAGTGGATGCTTAGTTTTTACCTTTGCGGTGTGATAGTTAAAAGGGCAAGTGAAATGAAGTACTACAAAAGGAATGGACTAATCTCGAGTTGCCTGTTTGTGAGGAAATCTATCAATGGAGGTTTCTTTTTAAACAATCAATGGAAAAATCAGATATCTTGTTAGAGGATCATTTGACCATATGATGCATTCTTTGCGTTGATTAGAAGTTTTTTGAATGTTGGAGTTGATCAGTATAAGCAAATTAGCTTGTTACTTGTCACTAAAAGCTAGACGAGTTAGCTTTTTGGGAGGCTGCTTTAGTGATGCAATTCCTTTCATTAGGTCTCTTGTCACTAAACTTGCTATTGCATGTCTCTATCTTTGACTTCAGAGTGCTGAATTCGTATTCCCATTTATTCCAGGGCATGGAGCTTGAGGTGGATTTGCTCAAGCAAAAGTCAGCAGAATATGCAAGGGCCAAGGAACTAGCTATTAGAGGTAACCTCAATGAGCTTCTTAATCTTTTAACGGAAAACATATTTTGGTCATTTTCTTTTTGTTGTCGGCACTATTGATGTGTTAAGTATGACACCATTTTGTATTACTTCGAAAGGATTATCCAAGTCAGTATAATACTGGTCAAATTTTCTTCTATCTTAGAAGTATTCCGTTGCTAAAGTCAATATTCGGTCCATACTGAAGTAATTGTGAATGCCAGCTTGGTGCAGTGAAGCTCAATTAGTTCACAAACTATTGTATTCCTGTTGTTCAGAATGTATATAGGACGTTGAAAATGAATTTAGTTCCCATGATTCTTAGGCAATTGGGCACGCATTAAATCCCATAAGGCTCTTTTGCATCCATGATTTTAACTTTCCTTTTAAAGTCGAGGAGGGCATCTTTTCACTTGCTTTTTTCTTTTCTCTTCTCGAAGCGGCTAGAGACATGGTGGATGTAGAAAATATAAAGCACATAACAGAGAACCAGACATTGATAGGCGATGTAGTTGAGAAGACTGCTGAGGACTGGAAAGCTCAGAAGGAAATATTCTATCAACAAACAGGCATTGGTTTTCAGCCTGTCAAAGACTCGCTTGACATTGTAAAGGAAAAGCAGGAAAAGTTCTCCCAACAAGAAGTGGCTGAAGAGCATGATGGCAATGAAGACTTCAGTAAGGAACTAGAAGCAGTGCTATTGTCGGAGCAAAACGAATGTGACTTTGAAGAATAGGGAGAGAACTTGTATAAAAAGAAGGTTTGGCACTATAGTTATAAGTATGCTTGTAAATGATTTTCGCAGCTACATGAAAGAGGTTGCAGCTTCTAGTAGACTGTCCTGTATTGAAAGGAAGGAAAGAAGTTTTGCATGCATATAGATAAGATGAAATTTTCCAGTTTCTATCTGTGTACTGAACCTTGTCGCTCTCCTTTCTTTCCTCGCGAGCAGGAAACACCCTAGCGGGCATATGTTGCACGATTCTACTGTGTTTTTTGTGCTATGGTAGGAACATTTTTAGATATGAAGATTGTTAAGGTCATATGCAAAGAGAAAAAGATGGCTTCTTGTTGAAAGTAAATGAAGTTCAAAAAACTTGCACGTCTTGGGTTATAATAAAAATTTTAAAGAAGAATTAAGCTAAATAGCAGCCCACTCATTTATTTAAACTAAAAATAGACGGTCAATGCATAATCTATGTATAATCATTTATATATAAAAGGAAAAACAAGATTATGATGTTTGAGCTTGTTGGCGATTCAGTTAGTGTCATCTTTAATCAAAGAACCTTGTTTCTTAACATAAGTACTAATTATAAGAGTTAATGTCATCTTTAACCAAAGAACCTTGGTTTCTTAACATAAGTACTAATTATAAAAACATAGGCACTGCTCCCTCAACGTGTGTGCTCCCCTGGAATTACCAAATAATATAAGGGTATTTCTGTAATTTTATACATTTCATGTGACTCTTTCGGTTGCTAGCTCAACGCGTGGATTCTTAACAAAGAGATCTGGACGGGAGTTCACAGCATATAAATTTGGATTTTGTTGGATAATTTTAAGAAAATGTTTACATAAACAGAGAATTGTCCTGACTGTATCCGTGGAAGTAGAAGGCGACCATAGTTTTTATCTATTTTCTGCTTTTGCTTTCCTCGTTCTTAAACTGCAAAAGCAGGACTTCCTTTTGGTTCGGTTTTTAAAGATTGAACCTATAGTTGTTATTACCTTTGTATTCCCACTTAGTTGAAAGCTATCAAGTTTCAACTTCTAACCTTCGCTGTTATTGCGGAGCAGCGGAGGACTTGGTGATTGTATGTTTAGTTTTCTTCTCGCGGTATTTTTTGTTGATGGAGTACGATATGCTTTTACGTATATGATGGATTCTATCTTTCTTTTAGTTCTATTGCCAATGATCGTTGATGATTGTGGCAAGTCGAAGACGAAGACGGTATGTTTTTGGGTCTAACATAGGATAGACAAATGTACCAGGTGCTCTAGTGTCCTGAGTACTACTACAACAATAACATACCCCGTATAGTCCACCAAGTGTACGCAAACTTACCCCTGCGTTTAAAAGGCAGAGATGCTGTTTCCGGTATATCATCGGCTCAGAAAGGAAAGGGGGTCCTGAGTAGTGATTTCTGCAAATGAATTTTGGACAGCTTGTGCAGCAAATGCTCTCTGATGTGCTGAACAGGTAACAATTGCTTCTGCGAAAAATAAAGTTTAGAGCATGCATAATGAGTAAAGTGAAGATTTTAAATTAATTTTCAGTAAGTTGAAATAATCCATGAGCTTTTAGTATGTACACTTTTACAATGGTTGTTTCATATATTTGGTCAGTTGTTAATGAAAGCATTCTTTCGACCAATTTCTGTGACACTACTGTTGTTACTGCTGCGCTCCCATATGTGATTTCAACTTCAAATTCACATCTGCGATGTTGTTTTTGTGTGAGTTAATTTAGATGAAATATGGTAAATAATAATGTTTTGGCTATCAGATGTCCGTAGTGATACTATGTCAATGGTAACAATTGTTATTACCTTGGAATCAACATTCTTTGTAGCTGGCAGTTTGAAACAGAGAACTTTCTTTTTGCGCTTAAGTCGTGCTAGATGTTGACACTCGGAGCATAGAAGCACGAAGAATACTGAACTTCACTGTCAAACTACCAGATTATAATACCAACAAAATTCACAATATCTACCATTACATTACAGGACAAAGGACAACGAGCAGATGCTAATTGCATACACTTTGAAAAGTTCATCAGAATCGCCTTAACACTAAACATTACACCTTTTGAAGATGAAATAGTCCCTATTTCAGCCATTCCCTCACAGTTTATTAAAACATATGATACAGTCTCTGATCTTGGTCAAATTTAGCATAGACTTTTCTTTTGCTGCTATATCTGATTATCGTTGTGCATTATCATTATTGTGTATCAATTTTTTGGATTGCATGTGTTGAAATGAAGGACCAGTCTGTGGGGAAACCATTATCTGATTATGTCGTCCCGTTATTCCACTGGAGTGATTGTTGTTATCAGCCTGTGTTCCTTCAAGTAACTGTTGTGCTCAGAATATTGTCTCCTATATATTGCACTTACCCACGGTGTATGCTCTGCAGTTTTCTTGTATGCTGGCTTTGTTTATTTACATTCTTCCATTTAAATATTTTTTCAGGGATTTCTTTTGGAAACCATTTGCAGTACTTTATTGATTCGCTTAGGCGTATTAAGAATTATATGGGATGAAACAAGAAAAAGATAATGAACTACAGAATGACCATAGTCAATTAGATAACATCCTCAGTAAGAGCCTTTACAGAAAGGAAACTGTTAGCATTAAGGTGAATTATATGGTCAAAAGGGATAAAAAGAGATAGAGCTGTTTAGACTCAGCAGAATGATATAGCGGTAAAGGTGAAAATCTAGGTGATGAAAATGTCGATGCTACTAAGGAACAACATTTAGTGTTGAATAAGGGTGGCATGTGGGCCGGTTAGGACCGGGACCGGCCCAGGACCGCAAGTACAAATGGGCGGTGAGCCTAAACGGTCCTAACTGGATAGGACCAGGACCGTGGGGAGGTGGGCTGGGTAGTGGGCCGGTCCTATAGGCGAGGCCCGCGAGACCGGGACCGGCTGAGAAGTGGGCCGGTTCAAGCGGTCCTAAACGGGCCTATACGGGCCCAACGGATAATTTTTTTTAAAAAAAAATTTGACCGTTTGGCCATTTAAAAACTAGCCGTTTGGTCTGCCAAAATAGCCGTTGGCTATTTACAAAATAGCTATTTAACCCCCCCCCGAACTTTGTTTTAACCCCAAACNTTTCCCCGGCTCCCCGATCCAAACTTGTTACCCGTCCTACACCTCCTATTCTTGATAGCGATAATAGTTTATTACAATTTANTACAAAATAGCTATTTAACCCCCCCCCGAACTTTGTTTTAACCCCAAACTTTTTATAATTACACTTTTTCCCTATTTTCAACTATAAATACCCCCTCATTCTTTCATTTTTCTCACAAAATCATCAATCTCTCTCAATCTCTCTCTAATATTCTTCTATAATTGCTTACTTAATTGTTACATTTTGTGCAAAATTGTGAAGTTGGTGAATTGAAATCTTCAAGTCTTCAACGATAATTAATTTTCAACAAGTTGTTCGTCAATTCGGTAAACTTGTTCCAACTCTTAAGT